TATCATGTTTGCTTTGCACCTGTCTGACCTAAATCAGCAGCCTCTCACAAACATTTAGGCCAGTGGTCTCCAACCTTTTAAAGCACAAGATCACTTTTTGAATTTAAATCAGTCCAGGATCTACCTCCAACCTAAATACTCCTGCCCTGCCCCGCCCCTTTTCCGAGGCCCTGCCCTCCTTACTCTGTCAAGATGGGGTACTTCTTTGCTGAGGCCCTGCCCTCCTTACTCTGTCAAGATGGGGTACAGGGAAGGGAGACAGATTGACATCAGTGCCCCCTGCCTCGGTCTCCCCCACTCTGCACAACAAGCAGGAGGCTCCCAGGAGGTGGCTCTGGGCAGGAGTAGCAAGGCAGCATGGGGAGGGAAAGCTGAAGTGCCAGCACTCTATAGACTCCCAACCAAACCAGTCAGAATCACTGGTCAGAGGCTCCAAGATCTACTGGTAGATCCTGATCTTCTGGTTGGTGACCACTGATTTAGGTAATGCCCTTGCCCATAACAGAGTGGCCAGACCATTATCTGGCTCCTGATACTACTTCCCTTCAAGTTGGGTTCTTCTTGGTTGAAGAGAGATTGTTCCTTGTGTAAACAGTGCAAAAGGAGTGGCAGTTAGTTGATCAACCCATTTCATTTAAACAGTAGAAGATGGAGGGTTGCAATCAAAAAGTTTGGGGATGAGCACTAGAGAGGAAAAAAGTGTTTGCCAGTTTGGTGAAGTGGGGAGAAATAAAACATGGAGAGTGACAGCAGAGATTCTGTCTTCATGCAGATTGCAGAATTTGGAGGCTCAGCATTTGACAGGTAGTTGGGTATTTTCAAATGAAAATAGAAGTGGGAAGAGATGAGTGAGAGAGACAAGAATGGACTCCAATGAAGAATTCAAAGGATGAATAAACACATTCCAAAATATGCTTCCGTTTAACCAAGCAAACTTTAAAGAGGAAGAACAGAAAACTGTCAAAGTTTAGCAGTCATGAGATTATTCAAATCTCCTTTTAATATAACTAACCTTTAACATAATAATAATGAAAAAGCTCTAATTACTTCTTAGTCTTCCAGACATTTAAAATATTTTAAATATTAAAAAGAAAAACAAAGCAAAATTCTGCACAGAGAATGTTATTTCACTCCAAAAGCTCGGTATTTAGAAGTGATTGTGCTTGGGTCCTCTCCCCCCCCCCCCTTTTTTTTTTTTTTTTTTTGCTTAAGCAAATGCCTGAAAGCAGAAGTAAGGACACAAACTGTCTTATATCTGTGCAGATTCAGGTAAGGCAATGTACTGTCTGTTTCCCTGGTGTATAAAAACTTTTACTAGACATCTGGACAAGTGACAGGAGAGGACTGACTATATAACTTGAATGGATGAAGGGGAGAGCTCCTGATTATTCTGGACAGCCAAAGAGAATGCCTGTGCAGATTACCTTAGAGGAGCATGGTCAAGGAAATATTCTTCTCGTAGGGCGTGTCTAGACACTTCTGTCAGAATAAGCTACGCAATTTCAGTCTAAGTCAAAAGTGCTTATTTTGACATCGGATGCTGTGTACACAGAGCCAAATTTCAAAATAAAGCACTATTCTGACACATCCCTTAACCATCGTGGAACAAGGGTTACAGGGATGCCAAAATAGCACGTCCGCTATTTTGAGACCCATCTCAAAATAGTGGGCTCATTCAAAAGAAGCAGGAACGCAGCCTAGACATACCTTTACTCTGAGGTGGTTGTCAGACATGCAGCTGTGTGCGTGTGTTCTGTGTGTTAAACTGGGTTTGGCCAGACAACTGTGCAGCAGGCTCCCATCCAACTGTCCAATAAGACCAAAAGATTTGGTTTAACAGTGAAGGCATTGGGCCAGCTTTATTGCTAATGAAGCACAAGTGCTAATGCCCCCTCTCTCAATGGTTACAGATACACTAACACACATCAGCTAACATGTATACTAACACAATGGTGGGACTTTTTACTGCTCCCTAGACCAAACAAAGGGTTGAAGCAAAATATTCCATCACTTACAGACTGAGGGTACGTCTACACAGCAGTGTTATTTTGGAATAACTGATGTTGTTCTGAAATAACAATCTGCATCTACTCTACAAGCAGTTATTTTGACATAATGTGACCTTCCTAATGTGACATGTCTAAATAATGTCAAGCTGGAGAACTTCTTACTCAGACTCCTATAACCCTCATTTTATGAGGAAGTGCTCTTCCTCAGACTTCCTGCTGTGTAGACAAAGCCAAAATAAGCTATTTTGATTTTAGCTATGCAATTGACATAGCTGAAGTTATGTAGCTTATTTTGGCTCTAGCCCTGGGCTGTTTCTAGACTGGCCAGTTTTTCCGCAAAAGCAGCTGATTTTGCGGAAAAACTGGCCAGTCTAGAAACAGCCCAGGGCTAGAGCCAAAATAAGCTATTTTGATTTTAGCTATGCAATTGACATAGCTGAAGTTATGTAGCTTATTTTGGCTCTAGCCCTGGGCTGTTTCTAGACTGGCCAGTTTTTCCGCAAAATCAGCTGCTTTTGCGGAAAAGTGTCCATGCCAATCTAGATGCTCTTTTCTGAAAATGTTAATGGAAAACTTTTCCGTTAAAAGCATTTCCGGAAAATCATGCCAGTCTAGATGTAGCCCTGCTGTGTAGACATGCCCTGAGATGCAAGTTGTTTATTCCAGATTAAATAAGGTGGGTGCATAACTGATTGATAACTATTCTCTGGGAATGGCTATCCAATGGTTCACAGTCATGCTGGATGGGCATGAGTGGGGGTTCCACAGTGATCAGTTTTGGGACCAATTCTGTTCTATATTTTCATTAATAATTTAGATAACAGCATAGGGAGTGTGCTTATAAAGTTTGCAGATGATACCAAGCTGGGAGGCACTGCAAGTGCTTTGAAAGATAGGATTATAATTCAGAATGATGTGGACAAACTGGAGAAATGACTGTTAAGGAAATAGTACTGCAGAAAGGGATCCAAGGGTCATAGTGGACCATAAGCTAAATAAGAATCAACTGTGTGACACTGTTGCAAAAAAAACCAAACCAAAACAAAAAAAACATTATTTTGGGATGCATTAGCAGGAGTGTTGTAGTAAGCAAGACACGAGACGTAATTCTTCTACTCTATGCTGATTAGGCCTCAACTGGAGAATTATGTCCAGCTCTGGAAACCACCTTTCAAGAAAGATGTGGACAAATTGGAGAAGGTCCAGAGAAGAGCAACAAAAATGATTAAAAGGTCTAGAAAACATGAAGTATGATTGAAAGAATTGGTTTGAGTCTGGAAAAGAGAAGACAGAGAGGGTACATAACAGCTTGCAAGTACCTAAAAAGTTGTCACAAAGAGGAGGGAGAGTAATTATTTTTCCTTAACCTCCGATAGGATAAAAAGCAATGGGTTTAAATTGCAGCAAGGGGGATTTAGATGGGAAATTCACTTTTAACATGGATGTATCTTCACAATTTATATTTGATTCATATTCTGCTTAATTACTATTTATCAAGTGTAGTAAGTTTATTCAAGGCAACTTCTACAAATTTAGGCTGTCTCTACACTGGCGTGATCTTGTGCCAGAAGTATGCAAATGAGGCTAAGCTTGGAATATTGCTGAGCTTCATTTGCATATCTAATGAGCCACCATTTTGCACAAGAGGCTCTTGCACCAGAAGGAGCTGTCTACACTGTCCCTTCTTGCGCAAGAAAAACCCTTTTGCACAATGCCGCTAAGCTGATTATTTTCAGGACATAGCCTTACTGTTTTCTTTAGTACTGCCATCTAGGATATATTAGTTTTTGCAGTAGAGACAAAACTGGTGGGTTGAGTGGTAGAAAACTAACCACAGTGCTTTGGAGCTCAAGTCATGTCATATCAGATAGCTAGATGTAAACACAGCTTATTTAGAAGGTAGATTACAGCAAGACAAAGAATGGTAAGGGCATATTTGCTTTAAACTGTCATAGTAACTGTGAAGCTGCTTCAGGTAAACTAGGAAGCAGGAGTGCCTCCACAAATGTCAGTTCTTACTCTACAACAGGGTTGTCTTCCACAGCATTTAAGTGTGATCATTTACATTTTATTTATAGTCGAAATTATTCCAGAAGTTAGTTCTATCTGACTTCAGAAATAGAACGTGGAAGAAGAGGATGAGAGGAAATAAACCTCACCACCAAAAAATTTGGGAATTTCACAGCAATGACTTACATCTATTATTTGTGCATATTAAACTCTTCTATCTGAGGATGTTCCACTGCATGTCGTTGTCTTAGTAGAAAAGGTGCAGGACACATGTTTAATAGAGCTGAATAGTGTGAGCTTGACATTTGGTATTACCCTCTTTTCTTCTTGCCTCTTTATACCCATGTTCATCCTGCAAGGGTGTCATTACCTATGACAAGTAAAGGAAGATCTTTATATGATACACACCATTGTAACATGCATGGGAGAGACAAGCTTCAGGATAGCTGGAATCAGAATTAGAGCCCTCAATAGGATCAAGTACCCAGGCCCCAATGAGGTACATTGAAATCAGCTTTATTACCCCAGCAAAGAAGTTAAACCACTTCATTTCCCTACCCACTGCTTTGTCTATTTAGAATAAGTTCTTTAGAACAGAGAATGTCACACTAGGCATTTTTGTACAAGGCCTAAGAATGTGGCTTCAATTTTTGTAGTACAGGCAGTCCCCAGGTTACATGGATCCGACTTACATCGGATCCCTACTTACAAACGGGGTGAGGCAACCCCGCACTAGCTGCTTCCCCCTAGCAGACCAGGGAGACGCGAAGCTAGCGCCCTCCCGCCCAGCAGACCAGGGAGTCGCAGAGCGGCTTTTCTCAGCAGACACCTCAGCTTGAGAATAAAGGACTGAGGGAAGTGAGGTGTGGGAGAATAAAACTGAGCTCTGGAGAAATGTTTGGCTAGCGTTTCCCCTACAATATGTACCAGTTCCGACTTGCCTGTACTGTAATTTTAGTACACCCATAGCTAAGCTTTTAGGGGACAAAAGGTGAAATAATGTTCCTTTTAGGGTGTAGAACAAAATATTATCTTAAACGATAGCTGTATAACTGATCTTTTTATTGAAGTCTATTAGATGACGGCTGCAGATTGTTATATGGTGTTCAATGAGTACAGTTATACTGCTTCAGTTCACTGCATACATGAGTAAATTGCCAGCCCATATATAAATACTGATCCTGTCTATATGCAATTTCTGTATTAAAGAAAGCCTTTTATAAGTGAATGCTGTACATAGGATTGTGTTGGTTTAACCAATTATGACTGTACCAAACCCATAACAAGTCACACATTGAGCATTTCAATATACATATTATGTTGAACAGTAAAAAAGTGTAAAGTAAGTAATGTAACAGCTTAAATACATTGTGTAGTGGAAAGACAACATAGGATGACAAAAGAGCATACTGACCTATCTAATGACATTTAGTCATCAATAAGCAACATAAAAATCAATGATTATAACAACCAGCATTTGTTTGGGACAGCATTCTCAACTTTTCTCGAAGGGCCAGTTTGTCATTTACATTCCAAAAAAATATGAACATCTTGACGACATTCTCAATTAGGGAGGATATCAAGGAGGAGAATGAAGTAAAATCTGCCGTAAAAGATCAAGTTTCTTCTACCCAGAGAACAGGAAGACCAGCATATTTTGTTAAGGCTGCACAGCATTTGTAAGATGAAAAAAAGTGTGTGCTATAAACAAGTTCAGGTGTTTGTCCTAGGAGTATTATATGTAACAGTAAGCTTATCTAGCAGTGCTAATGTTTATTGGAAAGCTCAAATAGCTTAATTACCAACTGAGACAATAAACTTTGCTTTGACAACATATATAAATATTAATTTGACTCAGAAGATTCCCTAAGTAGATAATGGACAACTCCCAAAAAGGAATTAAAAAAAGTCAATAAGGTATTTAATAATGCAACATAGAAGATACTGAACATGCTGACCTATAACTGCTCTAGGGTTTCTATAAACAAGATCACAGCTAATTACTAGAATACATGTAATCAAAAAGGTTTCTAAAACAAATCAGAACTGTAAGGTTTTTCAATTCCAGGAACATCACTAAGTGCATAAAGGGCCAATTTGAATTGAGAGCTTTCTTTTTCATGTTATGCTTATTTGGATATAGTTGAAGATGGACTGAAAACATTTTATGAGGCCTATATGCCTATTAGAGTCACGTTCTCAGCTGTAACAGTTGTATAAAATTTACTATGAAATACCATGTAATCTCCTCCTTTTAACTCTGCAAATTCAGTCATTACAATAGAGAGCCATTTAAGAGACTTCTATCATGAAATTGTGGATGCAAGAAAACATGTATTTACTGACTTTTCAAAGGATTTACAGTAACTGATGCTATAATGCCAAACAATTGTTATGCATACAGCATGCAAGCCAGTTAGTTTTTGTAAACAGGTGCGCTAATAGAGAAAATTTTAATCTTCATGAAGTTTTCAGTTTACCAACTTATAACATGAGTTAGTTTCTCTTGATGTTAATATTTAAGATATACAAGTGACCCAGATGACAGTACTACAACAAACAAAGTTAACAGGAATGTTAATTACTAAGCCACCAAATAGGCAACAGTGATTTTCTAGTCTCTTGAGAAGTTCATATTAGATTTCATCAGGCGATTAGAGGAGATTTTTGGTACCAGATAATAGTATGAACTGCCAAGGATGTGACCTTTAGGACAGGCATTACAGTTCTGACTGAAAATACTTCCATGTTTTGCAAAAGGCAGAGCTGTGATTTCATACTTCGAGCTGAAATCTTCCATAATGGAATTTTCTTATGCAGTTGAGTATTCAGTGATGGCAAAAAAATGATATTGCCCTGAAAGTTGTGCAAAAAAAAAATCCCCCCTCCAAGAAACACACACCTCAGAAGACTGTCAACATGAAGGAATTTAAGACTGCATTTGTGTAAGTTACGAGATCCTAATATGCTTAGCCCAGTTATCTTAAGTTCTGGCTGAGTATGGCTTAAGAGACTTGCATTTGAAGTTAAAAATACATATAAGTGAAGAATGACATTGACTAAGCAAAATTGGGAAAACTCAAGGGAAGAGTTTATCAAGATAGTTTCTTACTACTTAAAGCAACTTCCTTTCCATAGGGTGGAAAAAAAAACAAAAAACCACACACATGCAGAATAACCAAATCTACTTTGCAGACAAATGTCATTGCTATCAATTCCTATATTTAACGATATTCCTATCTTTATCTAGTAAGATAGCTGTATTGATATTTACATGGGCTTTGTTTTATGACTAGTCAAAACAATGTGATGATTAACAGTTACTTATCCCTTTCCCTCTTATTTACCCCTACCATACCCAAAAATAGTGTTCTAGCAGCATTCATTGATTCAATAGTACAAACTCATTTCAAGTCTCTCTTTCCAAGTTGTGCCATCTTCTTGGAAGACAGTGTTAGTTCAATAGCACTTTCCACATTGCTAATAAAAATGTGGGCAATGGAGGGAGAAATGCACTTGCACACATTTTAATTCCAATGAGCAGACCCTCTGATTTGCTCACCACATACATTTTCATCTTCTGATCAGGCTAGTCACTGTTATAACTTTGGTAAATTGTACATCCATTTAAAATTCAGAATTCCTCATTCTGACATGCACCTACAACATGAGAGTTGAACTGCACCACAATAATTGTAATGTCATCTCTGTACATCCTAGCCAACTCTTCTGGAAGACTAAGCATCTTGGACAGCCGCTCATGATCAACAGTGCCAAACTCATTATTTCCCACTGCATGACGTATTAGATGAGTTGCTGCATTCTGATCTTCAAATACTGAGGAGATTCTGGCTCTCCTTTCTGTTAAGAGACCATGCATTTGTCCCAAAGTTACCTTGTAACCACCAACAGCTATTGGCTGTTGGTGATGAACTCCAGTGAGATACTCTCCTACAATTCTAACCACATCCTGCCTATGCATGGTCTCCCACAGGCCATCTGTAGCCAACACCAGGAACTTATCCTGAGGCCTTAATCTGTGATGTATGACCTCTGGCTCAGCTGTGAGATAGGGAGGAGTATGATAGTTAGGAGGGATGAATTTAGTATACTCATTGTCATTCAACTGATCTGGGCCCGATTCTATCACTCTCTTCTGAAGTTCAATGCTCCATTTGAATTTTACATCACCAAAAGCTCTGAAAGGCATCAATAAGCCTAAAAGCCTGTCTTGTTTTACAAGACTTTTCTCTTCAGACTTTGGATGCTCCAGTTTTATTCGTTCTATTTCATTTTCATTCTGTGCATTATGGTCACAGGACAGAGAGACTGCAGACCAAGATCCATCTTCTTCTTGAACACCAAGCATTGCCCTGCTGTCACCAGTATTAGCAACATGCAAATCAACACCATCTATATGAGCCACACATGCAGTTGCTCCTGAAAAGGCCACTCGTAATACCAGGTAATTCAGGAAAGAGTTTGGATCTCCTACTTGAGCTTCTAATGAAATATCATTATCAAGCCTCTTGAAAGCATTAATTAAAGCCTCTTTTACATCAGTCGTCTCACCACTGTTGAGGTCTATGAGTTCTTGCCAGTAAGTTCTTAAACTGTTGAAATACAGTTTGGAAGCTTCCTTACTAAAATAATCATTGGGATGCTTGTGCCACTGTAAGATGGGTAACAGGGCACGACCACTCTCCACTGCATTTTCTATTTCAAGTAGAGTCTCATGAGGTAACAAAGAGACAGCAATGTAGTAGAACAGTCTTTCACTGACAGCCTGAGCACAAGCACAGCCTGCATGGCCATCAAATACGCCTAGAAGCATTCCTCTTGTTTGTAAGCAGGTGGCCGCACTCCTCCTGTCTTCTATTGGAGCATTAGCAGGCAACTGGTTGCTATCAAAGCCAAGAACAGAACTTACATTTTTGCCATCAAATTCTGGGACTTTAAAGCTGTATTCATTTGCCTTCAGAATGCTGTTAACCTGTGGAGGGGTGAGGTAAAATCTCTGTGGTGTGGAAACGTAACTCCTTGTATGGATAAAGGGATTAAAATTCTCTTTTGGACAACAGAGTGCTGCAAGTTTCTTCTGAGGCGTACATCTCAAATGATTGTGAGCCAAGTGAGGTGACAAACAACAAAGATGTTTGTGATGGCAGTGGCACACTGTACTGTATATCCTGCCAATCTCGCAGTTACGAATCAATGGAAATAGTTGAGTTGGTGCTGGCATGGCATCAGAAAATAATGGCAGTCTGGAGCTTCTGACAGGAATTGCTGAAAGACAAGAGGGAAAAAAAACCACACCAGTAGGTTTAGTGAAGCAGTGAGCTTTAGCATAGATAGATTTGTATCACAGAAATCTTAGCTATAATAGAACAAAATAAATTAGTGTTTTGAGGCAGTAAAGAAAAATTGGTAAAGCTGATGAAACTGTACACTATGATACAGCCATACCCAGAGTCCTTTTAGGGAAGAGGGAAAGGCAGTGTAAGAAAGGCTTGCAGAAGTGTATCATCCTGTTCAGGAGCAACATGAACTATATTGTATTTAAATATCTGATTTAGATATTTTAGTCTTTTGAACCAGACACAAGGAAGGAAGTTAAATGAATACCATCCTTGTACTGTTAGGCAGGTTCCCAATATACATTCAGACTAACGGAGGCACAAGAAGTAGTACACACCAAAGTGCTGGGATTTAACTCACCTATGCGAATGCTGCAGGTGCAAACTTAAAGGTACAAAGTGCACACTAATGTAGTCCTCTAAAGATTCTGCAGAAATACTTAGTCTCTTAAGAGAGTTAAAGCCTCTTCTACATCTGAAGCCTCTCCAATGTTGAGGCTCCTGCTAGTAAATAAACAAACTATCGAAATATAATTTGGAAGCTTCCTTATTAAAATTATTAGACAATGAAGAGAACTTCAGTGCAAATGTAGACACCTTTAGATTTATGCCCTCACTGTCCACATGGAGGAGTTAGAGAACAACACTTAGATACACACTGTGGGGCAATTTTACCTGTCTAAATTAGGCATTCTGGAGAAGCCTACACAAAATTATCTGTACTGACCATTGTCTTAAATATTCAATTTAAGGGGACATTCCTAAAGTTAAAAAACAAAGATTAAAGAACAAACAACTGAGCCAAGTGAAGCATACCCTGTAGGTTTGGTCTTAAAACAATAGCCTTAAGTCTTGTAGAAGCTACTTAACTGCAAATGTACATACTATTAACAGAAACTATAGTTTGTTCCAATGTCTTATTATCAGGGAAATCTGTCCCAAATAAGATGAGTTTGTTCTTTATAAAGAACAAACATTACAAAAGAGGTCTCTCACTGATCAACTAAAATGGATTTTTTTTTAAGTTAAGCCTTCTACTTACAAGCCTTATGTAAAAGGACAGATTTCATATCCTCACCCCCAAATTAAGAAGTAGCTTCTTGCTAGAAAGGTTCAAAGCAGATCTACTACAAAGGAATCAAACAGAAGTATTCTACATAGCAACAGAAGAGATGACCCAAAACCATCTCTCCTACAAAGAAGCTAGATGGAAAATGCCTGCACTAAACACCATATCCCTCCAGGTCAGAGGTGGGCAAGAGAGCAACCACAGGCCGGATGTGGCCCGTCAAGCAGGTTGATCCAGCCCACAGCCACCCTGCTGCTCCCTTGCTCCCAGACCCATCAAGACCTGTGGATAGGGGAGCTTGTGCAAGCTCTTTCCCCCTCCAGGGGTGTGAGGCACCAGAGGGAACTATCAGATGTTCAGAACAGCAGGCAGGTCACTTTAGGCAGGACGAGGGAAAAGACTTCATGCACTCCCACACCCCGCCCCTTCCACCCAAGGCTATGCCCCTTCCGGCTTCGCCCACAGCCACTTCAGAAATTTGTGAAGTGCCCCCCCTTCAAAAATTATTACCCACGCCTGCTCCAGATCATGGTCCCTGCTAAAGTCATACAGTCAAAAAATTTAACATAAGTAATGTTACTAATCAGAGTTGTTTGATGCAACTAACAGTAAAAGTATTCATTTTAAAAAGTATGCATTTGCCCAGTTATCAAAGTAGTCACATGATGAACAAAGTATTTTCTGAATAAACTGACCAATGTCAATGTAACATTTGGTGATTAGAATTCAACCATCCCCATTCTCCCTTTTTCCTTCTCAGTTTCATTCTACTTTTTCCTCTTTTCTATATGATCATGGCATCTCTTCTTCATATCAGCAGCACATTTCCTTCTCTCTCTCTACGCTTTTCCCCTTCCATTTTCCCGTCAAAGTTTCCCTATCTTCTTCCTCTTTTAGCTTCTCAGTCTCTTCTACCCATTCTACTCTCAGTCTCATGGGCTTTACTCATGGGCTGTAGCTGTAGGTTGATCCAATGATAACAGGCATTTGTCAAATTTGAAGTTCTCCTTCACCTCTGCTCTAGAAGAGATAATATGCCATGTCATGTTCTCCACCCCTTGGCTGCCATGAGCTAAGTAGATGTGAAGGTCTCTACTATTTTGCCCCTCCCTTAATCATTCTGCATTCAGTTACCAGGATGATGTCTCTCCTACTCTAATCGTTCTCTATTTGGTTTCCACACAATTCATATATGGACCATACAGTCTAGTTACTTGATTTATTTTTTAAATTAGAATGAAAGCTTATAACTTGTACAAGATGATTGTATTAACTCAAGAAAACTTCCAATCTGACCAGAGCAAGTAGGTTGAAAAGGACATACTTGAACACACACAAAGCATTGCATTATCACTTCTCCAACAAATTATAGTGGTCCCCTCCATTACAGACATATGCAAAAAAATTCATATACATATTCGTTTTGAGTGCCTTGTTTATGTAGCGTCTTTTTTTTTTTTTTTGGAGAAAAACATCTCAATAGGTTCTTTAGGTACTTTTATGGTCAGAAGAGTGGATATTGGGCGTTATGTAATTGTTTTTCGTCAGAAGTTTATTTCATTAAGATTTTATGAATGCTAATTTCAAACTTGTGTTCAGTTCCCAAATCACCCTATTTGAACAGTTTTGTAGAGAGAACTCTAACAGTTTTTGTTGTTTGTTCCATGATGAAGCAAAAACACAACTCATGTTTTGCAGCTATAATTGCTCTGCAGTGCCACCAGCGGTTAAGTTACTGAAAACCGTATTATCTCTATCAGTTAAAAAACTTCACACCCTCAACAACATAGGGAAGACGTAGAGGGCTCGTCTAGACTATGGGAAAGGTTTGAAAGAGGATATGCAAATTCCGCAGGAGCTTTCAAAAGTGAAAGTAGTTTAGATGCGGCTTTTTTTGGTGACCCTTCCCCCCCTTTGTCGAAAAGCCGCTTTTCCTCAAAAAAAGAGGTTTATGCAAAAATCCCTTGCTCAAAAACGGCTCGAATAGATGATGCAAATGAAGTGTGACAATGCTAAGTAATCAGCACTTCATTTGCATACTCTCTGCCGGCAAAAGCCAGCAGTGTAGACATAGCCTAGGTATGTTAGATAGTGGGTAACAGAATAGTTGAGTAATGGCACGGTTACTTGATTATTCTATAGTTGCCAGCAGCCAGTACACACTGGTCCCACGCCCGGGGAGCACCCTGCTACCCTGTGTTGCTGCCAGACAGGAGCTGGTCCACGAGGGGAGCCAGTTTAAAAACCAAGTCCCCCTCACGGACTGGCTGCCTGCTGTCCCACGCTGCTGCCTCTGATATGGGAATGGGGGAGGGTGGCATCCCAGCTCCCTGCAGACCAGACTCTGTCTGCAGTGGGCCCAAGTTTGCCGCGGAGAGAGGCTGCTCCATGGGATGCAGAGCAGCCTTTGTCTACCTGGAGCTCGGATCCCCCATGGACAGGGGCTGCTACTGCAAAGCAGCCTCCTCTAGCCCTTCCCCAACTCATGCTGCTGCATCTGAAAGAGGCAGCAGTGGTGGGGAGAGGATAGGCGGCATCGTGGAGCTGGTGCTAAGGGAAAAGTTTTTTAAAGCTGGCTCTCCCAAGACCAGACTAACACGGCTACATTTCTATTACTATTCAGGTGTGGGCAGCACCATGGAGACGGTGTTGGGAGGAACTGTCTTTTAAACCAGCTCTCCCCAGCATTGGTTCCTGCTTCCCCCCCCCCTGATACAGAGGCAATGGGGGAGAGGGAAGTAATGGAGAAGATTAACAGAGAAGCCTAGGCTTGTTTTCAGTTAATTGTATATTTGACTACTCGTTTACATCCCTACAGGACACTTTCATGATGGCCTACGCAAAGTATTCTAAAAAAACCAAGTACTGAGAAATTTGGTCCAAGAGAAGATAGAGACACAGGAAAAACTCAAAAGCAAAATTAGCTGGAAATATTCCTAGCCAATTCTCAAGTTTTTAGAGCCAAGCCTACCTCAAAAGAGCCCCCCAGTACACAAATGGCTTAGAAATAACATTTTCATACAATAAATGCATTTATAAGTGCAGAACTGTCTTATACCATTCTGTAGATATTGTATTCATAGCTGTGGAGCCTCTGGATTTTGTGCAGTACTTATTACAGGGCTACTCACTATCATAACAGATACATATATAGTTTAATAACATTTTAAGGCATTGGGACATTTGTATTAGTCAAGATATTAAGTCACCGGATTTTGGTGCTACACAAAAATGGCTCCTCTCTAAAAAATATTGCTGGTTTTTATTAATTGTATGTTTTATTAACTGCATATCTTACAGTATGAAAGCTACCACGTGCCAGTATCAAATGCTAAATCGACCTGTGCTTAAAAGTGAACCGACCAGTCTCCCCTATTAAGAAGGCTGTGGGTGAGAGACGAACCAAAAAGCAGGCGTTTTAGCCTCTCAGGTGTTAGCCCCCATCAGAGGCTAGAGAGTCCTTCTCTCGTGCAGTATGCGCATCCCTCCCTTCCTTAACTCCCACCCCACCCCGGCCCCAGCCACTCCGCAAAGAAGAGCGCAACAAGATACCTACCGATCCGCCTCGGCCCAGGACACACACACATTCTCCTGTCACAACAAGAAGCCGCCAACATCCACAAAGCAGCAGCAGCAGCCCGGGGAAGCAAGGCAGAGAGGTTACCACACAGGAGCACGAAGAAAGAGGAGCAGCGGCCGCTCTCCAACCCACCAAGGAGCCAGGCGACAGACACACCGGCGGTTTGCGCCGCCAGCGAGCAGCCTCAGCAGCAAGCGCCGCGCATCGTTGAGGACCGAGCGCGAATAACTCCACAGCGGCCCCCGCAGCACGGCCCCGCGCACATCGGCCTCCCCCGCCGCACCGGGAGGCAGCGCGCGTCGCCCCGCCACTCACCACGACCGCGCCAGTCCCCCGCCCGGACGAGCGGCACGGCGGGGGGACGCAGCCCCGCGGCCCGGCCCATGCACACACGCACCTGGCCAGCTCTAGGGACGCGCTGCCACCCGCAGCTGAGGAGACTCGTTCCGCGCTGCCTGCGCGCCCGGGAGCGGAGCGGGGGGGGAAGGACGCGGAACCACCAGACCGGCGCGCCCCGTTCCCGGCAGCGAGCAAGAAGCCCCGCACAAGCAGCCGTGACGCGCCGCGATTATACCCCCCGGCCGCTAGAGCCGGGCCGCCCATTGGCCGAGAGGGGAAGGGGCTGCGTGACGCAGGAGGCCTGGACTCACCGGCGGTGTCGCGGAGCGGTCCCAGCGTAGCGCCCCGTCCCCTCCGAGTGCCCGGGCGTGACCCGGCCGGAGCGGGCGGGGCCGGCGCGCAGGAGGGGCGCTCACAGCCCTGCCCATTTAGGGCGGGGCCGGCCGCTCGAGAAACGGATCCCTCCCCCTTTCAACGGCCGCCTAACGGGAGAGGATGCGGCTGCTTTGTCTCAGCAGCCGCCCTCGCACGGTCCGCGCCCGCCTTCTCCGGCAGAGCAGTCGCCGGGCTGGGCCGGGCCTCGCTTCTCCTCTCTCACGCGCTGCGTGCGGGGTAATTGCTTTTCCCCAGGCTTCTTCCACGCACCGCGCCAGGCAGCAATGTTCCTCCTGACAGGCACAGACGCAGAGAGACCGAGCCTCAGTGACCCCGCCTCGGTGCTTGCCCTGTCTCCTCCCTCAGCCTGGGGCACCCCGAGCCCGGTCGCCCCCTGCGTTCAGCCTGCGGTGGGTTGTTCCTGGCGTGCTTGCCGATTTCCTTCTGCTCATTACAGTACTAGCTACGTGGCTCAAAAAGTGAGCTTCGTGTAAAGCAACATTTGATTTAACACCTGCCTACGGCCTTTCCATTTACATGCCACTGCTGAAAATCACCAGAGGTACCTTCTGGGCCTGGCAGCAGACTGGAGAATAAGAGCTTTTTGCAAATTTCAGAAATCCCCTTTTGATTTTGCACTTCTGGTTTATGGATGGGCTTCAGACTCACTGCTGTACTCTTTCTATATGCTAAGGCCCCTTATGCTCTATCACACTCTGCTAACCCATAGTTTCAGAGGGGTAGCAAGTTAGCCTGTAACTGGAAAAACTTAAGAAACAACACAGTCTAGTAGCACCTTAGAGACTAACAAAACATAT